CTGTCAAGGGCTGACTTTTAGGCTTCTCTTTAAGGCCAAAGATTATGTACCACTGTTAGTATCTTCACTGAAGGCCCCCAAATCTAATTATAAAGGATGTCACATCCAACACTACCCAAACCCCACTAGTAATAGTGATATAACTATAGTAACATAATTCCTTATCAACTACTTAAATGGTGAACCCATGTATAAACTCATNCCAGTAATGGTGATATAACTATAGTAACATAATTCCTTATCAACTACTTAAATGGTGAACCCATGTATAAACTCATCAACCTTAAAAATTTTTGTGCACAAATCCTTGTAGTTTGCAATTGACTAAATTAAAAAAAAATATTTGAAAATTTAATAAATTTGTCAACGTAATTAGATTGTATGATTTGTCTTTTTTTTTTTGGTGTTCAATAAGAAGTATTAGGCCTTAAAAGCCCATGCTGTTATGTCAAATCAAGAGTTGTAAAAGATATTGAAATTTGAAATTAGTGCAGCTAGATTCTGCCATTTTTTGTGAGTTGTGGAACTCCAACCTATCTATGTATATGGCCACCCAAAATAGAGTTTGATTCCTATCAGTCAAAGCCCATAGTCATGAACAAGAGTATTTTCATTCATCGCCATGCAATCATATTAGGTGGAGCTTAAGTTGTGCTTGAAAATTAATTAATTAATTAGATTGTTAATGGTGAATAGGATGCATCACTACCTCATTCACTACCTTTAGTAATGCATTTCATAATTAAAAGGAATAGGAGATCTAGTCCAAGAAAGAAAGAATATCGTAGGTTGGTCCCACCACCCCATGATTAAAATATTCAAGTACCACTCTAAAATATTAAAGTATGTCATCCCACCCAATTTTGTCTTATAAATAGGATCAATGCAGTCCCTTGCATGTGATTGCTTGTGGGATGATCAATAAAGTATAGAAACCTAACAAGAATCAAGAACGGGTGAAAAATTAATTTGCTCACTTAGAATCCAACTTTTTATATCATGTTACAAAATTCTATGCAAAATTATTTACAATGAATGAAGATGTGCATTTAATCTTTATATCCAAGCGTTGATGGCTCTAATATTTATATATGAATGCAAGCTTTCCTCCCATTCCTAGTGCCAATTTCATCACAGTAATGAAAAAGAAAGAAAAAACATGTAAATGGGATGACAAAGGTAGAAAATCACATGCCCCTAACAAAAATAAACTAAATGGTTCCCCCCAAAAAAATAGAAAATTTGGTTGTATAGTAGTATAAGGTTGGTAAGCCAATGGCATTCTAGCTAGTCCCTACGAGAGCTATTAACCCCTACCCCTAGTGACAAACCCCTCAAGATACATGTGCTTCCAAAATCATATTTGTAAGCTTCCATTTTTTATCATTAAATATAATTAATCTCTTTGATTGAAATTGAGGGCAAATGATTCTAATTATAGAGGTTAAATGTCTTTGATTATATTGAAAAAGGGGTATGGAGATAGTGAGATATTACTTACGAGGTGGCAACGGTGCCCTCATCAATCCAGTTCCCAAACAAGCAAAAACCACGGGTTGTTTTTTGGGAGGACCATTTGTAAGCATTGAGTAGAAGATATATATGGAATTTAAGAGTTTCATTGTAGGAAAAAAAAACGTAAATGTTCACTTAAATGTGGATCAAGCTACCTCATCAATTTGTTGTCCATGCCTTGCTTATTATCAGTTGGTTTTGGCTCTCAGAAACTACAATAAATTGGAGGGAATCACATCACACGATACTTCTTCTCTCAAAATTTATTTTAGTTCCTCATAGTTTGGTATGAAGCCCTTTAATGTTAGATAATTCAAGTTTGATACAATGACAGGGTATGAGTTTCTTGAGTTTTTGTGACTATCCATATGGGATACATCTTGATACAGATTTGTCTTGCAAATCAGCAAAAACTTCTTTCATCATAGTGTAATGAATCTATTGTTAGCTACAAAGTCTTGCCATTTGAGCTACAAAACTCGAATAAGTGTGACTTTTGGATTTGTTTAAGAAAATTATATGTGTTCATGTTAATAAGGAGAGGGATTGGCATTGAGGCTAACCTTGTGAAGATGAAGGAATTTATGAGCATGAAGTCTCCTCGGAATCTCAATTGGGAGGAAGGATTGCATATTTGAATAGACTGATGTCCTGTGAACAATGAAAAAATGCCAACCCTAACTTAAAATAATTTTTAGAAAAAGCATTTGTGGCACAGTGAGGAGTGTAAAGGGAAAAAATTCTCCTTAATCAAGANAAGGAAAACACAAAGTATTTTTGAGTGATAAGGAATTATTTTAGGAGAAAGAGAAAACTTATAGGAATTTAACCCAAACTCACTAACTGTTATGCACAAGACCCTGTTAGGTAATCAATGTGAAAATCTTAAATGAAATAGGAAACGTAGTGNATCATCACCAAAAGATTAAGAACAAAAACAACCTTAATTATAAAGATAAACAACCCTGCCTATTTAAAACCATAGCTTGTAGCAAAAACAAGGGTTGTCCACTCTCACACTCAAAATCACAAACCCTATTCTCTCTCTCTCTCTCAGCCCCCCCCCCCCTTATAGGGAAAGATGAGATTAAGATATAACCCTCCAGTCCTATAAATGGACCGTCCTTTAAAACTTTGTTACATCAAACAACTCCGTTAAGTTACACACGTCCAAAATTCTTCGACACAACACACTACATGGCCCTTGAACAATTTTCCTTTGCTCTGTCTCTTATTTACATTGACTCTGACACCGTTCCTAATGGCCCTGACGGCCATCCAACCTCCATCGATGGTGGCCATGACGCCAATAAGGTGCCTAGACTCCCTCGCTGGATTCGACAATAAATCCTCATGCTAATACAAGGCAAGAGAGTAGCCAACAAGCCAGGTTCGCAGAGGATGGACTGTTGGTCAAGCATTCAAGTCTGGTCAGGTAGAACCCAAGAAGGCCTTAGTTTTCTCGTACTATAGAAGACACGGGGTAAACCAGGGACCAGTTCAGTGCTATAAAAGATGGAGCAATTTAGCCAGAGATTATAAGAAGATAAAAGAGTGGGAGTTATAGATAAAGGAAAACACAAAGTATTTTTGAGTGATAAGGAATTATTTTAGGAGAAAGAGAAAACTTATAGGAATTTAACCCAAACTCACTAACTGTTATGCACAAGACCCTGTTAGGTAATCAATGTGAAAATCTTAAATGAAATAGGAAACGTAGTGAAAGAGTTTTAATATACCATGAATAAGTACATTAGACATATAATACGATACAGAATGATAAGTTGTATCTGAATAGATTTAGGTTACAGTATTTTATCTCTTTAAATAAGGTTGAGTATTATGTGATCAGTTACCAGATGATCAGTTTTTCATGAATAATACAACGATGTAGGATTTTGGTCCGTGGATGTAGGTATGATGTGTCGAGGTGGGTATACTGTATTGAACCACGATATATCTTTGTATAATATTTTTATTGTTTCCGTATTTTTGAGTTTCTATCTTCCAACAAGTATTATTTGTGTTAATTATCCATTGTGCAAAACCAACAAGTGGTGTTAGAGCAATGTTTTAACAAGTGGTATCAGAGCTATGTTCCAACAAGTAGTAACAAAACAATGTTTCAACAATTTGTATTAGAGCAATGTTCCAACAAGTGTATCAGAGATAGGTTAACGCTCTTGGTGCAACTATCCGGGCTAGATTGATGATATTGGTTGAACAATTAGAGCTAGATTGATGATGCTGGTAGAAAAATTAGAGCCAGATTGATGATCTCAATAGAATAGTCAGAGTTAGAATGAAAATTCTAGTGCAATAATCGAAGAAAGTTATTGACAATAATCAAGCTGGAGTTCAAGAAGAATCTTTTACCATGTATGTACAAGTTGGAGTTCAAGAAGAATCTTTTACCATGTATGTACAATTCATATTTTTGTTTAGATTCACNGAGATAACTTACAAGAGTAGCTTAGAGTTTTTTAGTGGACATCATAATATTTTTGGAGTTCAATTTAGCCTGTCTAATACGAATCCTTTGAATGATTTTTTTACCTCATTTTGAAGCATAGAAATTCAATAAGATGAAATGACACTTAACGAGCCCAAGGAAATTTGGCAACTGAAACGTGTTTATTACCAAATTCTTCATTAAGAAAATGACATTTAATAATAGCATATTANGAGTTGAAGTCATGGTATTCCAATGGTTTGGGAGCTATTGGGTTGATATAAATCCAATAGTGATGATATGGTGTCTTGTGGGTTATGAGTCATTGGGTTTTACCTTTGAATGGTGAAATATTGACCATTGAAACCTCTCAAGAACAAGTAAGATGCGGACAGAGATGCACAAATGATGCAAACCAAAACAAATGTTCTTGAAAGACAGAGAGGATTGTGGCGACTCAGAAGATTAAGTTTACACGTAGTGTTTAAAAAATTGGTGGATCAAAATTAAGGGTGCTAAACCCGATCTTGGGCATGACCAAAGTTGAAGAGTTTGGTTGAAGGGGGGCTGTTGGAATTTGACCAAAACTCTCTAATTGTTAAAACGAGAATTTTTTGGGTAATCAATGTGAGAATCCTAAATGAAATAGAAAACGTATTGGAAGATTTTTAATATACCATAAATAATTATATTAGACATGTAATAGGAACCATAAAGATCAAGTGTATTTGAATAGATTTTGGTTATAGTATTTTATCTCTATAAATAAGGTTGAATATTATAAAATCAATTATCAAATGACCATTTTTTCAATGAATAATACATCGATGTAGGTTTTTGGTCTGTGAATGTAGGTATGGTGTACCAAGGTGGGTATGCTATATCGAACCACGTTATATCTTTATATAATATTTTTATTGTTTTCCTATCTTTGAATTCTTATATTACAACAAACATTGTTTGTGTTAATTATCCGTTGTGTAAAATCAACATGTGGTATCAGAGCAATGTCCTAATAAGTGGTACCAGAATTATGTTCCAACAAGTGGTATTAGAGCTATGTTTCAACAAGTGGTATCAGAATAATATTCCAACAAAATTGCCCAAATTTTTCAATAGAGAAGTTTACGATATAGTGGATGGTGGTGGTGGGTCGAAGGCAATAGGTCCCACGGGGTTAGTTTTGGCCTTGGCTCCATCAAATAGGACAGAGGGTGAAAAGGTGGAGGTGGAGGCGGTGTTTGATAGTGGGTGGAGTGCGGCGCCGGAGGATAGGTTGTTTTCGTATTTTGAGGACTTGGGTCAAAAGGAAATTGGTGGCAGTACGAATAAGGAATTCAAGAAGGGGCCGACAAAGACGACGAATTTACCTGCTCCAATTCCAATTTCAGGTAATTAGGTGTCTAGCTACACTTTAGATTTATCGAGTTGGTTGAATTTTGAACTTTGTGAAAATGAAAAATGGAATCTGTATTCTTGGAAATTATTATTATTACTTTTTAATCTTTATTGCTCTATTATTTTATAATATTTCTTTGATCTGGGGTTTTCCAGTCATGGTGGGTTGTTGGTGGGACTTCTTTAGTGGCTTTGGTGCATTAATTTTTTTTTTCTCTTTTTATTTCTCTCTATGGTTTAACATTTATTTTGTATTTTTCACGATAATCTATACTACAATTTACTGTTCGTCTATGGAGTTGTGGCTGATTTTGGTTTTGGTTTTGATTTTGATATCTTGATTTGTAAAGAAACAATACCAGCCATTCTCCCAATCTCAATGTTGTACAACTCAGGTATTGTCATTGTTTTTAGCTGATTTACAACAAACATACCTGCTATTATCGATTCAAATTTTTTTGAAAACGTTGTTCTTTTTCCTCAAAACTTGGAAATGTATATGAAGCCTATTCTATTTGGTAATTTTCATTTGTGTTGCGGCAAATATCCAAGCCCAAGTGTGCACACTCTCTGCACATAGTGAATAGGACTTTTTTAGGCCTTCCACCAGCTCATTGCTTGTTTGGATTTTGGATTTGCAAAGACCACGTTGTGTATTATATACTGTATGTAAGAGTGTCAAAGGCAAGATGAAATTTTAGCATTTAAATTACAACCAACTTAATTTTGTTGTATTTCACAATTTAACCGATGATGGGTAAGAGAGATGTAAACTTGATTCTCATGCTTATGATTGAGACTATGTTCACACCATTACTTCACCTTTTGGGGATGCACTACCATTTTGTGAATCTAAGTAGAGTTTTCTTATAAGAAAAGTTGTATAGATATGCAACAGTAGTCCTTTCGTTTATCATATTACATTTAACAACTGAGAAAGAACATGATAGTCTCGATCTCTATAAACTATACAAATTCTATTTTTCTAGGTGGCTATAGAATAAAATGGGTAGGTATAGAATATAATGAGCTCAGTAGTTTATGTTACGGTGTTAAATGGAGGTGGAGATGAATATTTGTGGGATATGAATAGGCCCACCCAAAATAGTTCTAGGTTTTCTGTTTCTGCACTCATTAAAGCCTGGTAGTACTGTGATTAGACATCAATTTCAATTGTCATAAAGCCTGAAGTAGATAAAATCTGAAGTAGAAAAGCGAACACCTGAACTTTTGAGTAATCCAAAACATTGAAAATATGAAGGAACATAAAAATTATAGGAATGTTCTTGTAACACAGCTCCGGTTGTTTGCATTTTAGGCCATTGTTTAACTAATTATTGTGACTATCTTTCATTTTCCCTGATAGAAAGACTAACATCTGAATACGGTGGTGCCTTTTTCTAAGATGAATTTTGTTTCAGGCACGACACACGAGAAACAACTAACTTCAAACCCCGAACCAGGAACTACTCAAGAAGGATGGAAGAGAAAACGATTTGCCATGGATGAAGAGGAAGAAACAACAAATGTGTTGCATCAAGTAATTGATGCGTTGGAAAAGAATGGCAAATTGCTGAGCTCTCAACTTGAAGCTCAGAACACCAACTTTCAGTTAGACAGAGAACAGTAGAAAGATCATGTAAATAGCTTAATTGTTGTTCTTAATAAGCTTGCAGATGCAATGGAAAGAATTGTTGGTAAATTGTAATGAAGAGCCCTTATAGTACAATTGCACATGACAAGAGTTCTCTCTAAGCTCCAAGAATTGTCACAGAGGTTGAAGGATTTGGTCAGCTACAGATTTTTATAGCTGATATTTGTCTCAATGTCATATCCAAGATGGCTTCTTACATTTTTCCCCCATTTTAATACCTCTTATATATCTTGATGTACTTTTTTTCTATTGAGGCTTATTGCCATTATAAGTTTATACATATAATAAAGTATGGGAATTTAGGAGTCTGATAATGTCTTTCTCATATATGTTATTGAAGGTTTTTGTCTCTTTTTTGTTGCAGTGATTGTACAGATTGTTGGTAGAATATGCTTGTTGAAGTGGTTGCTTACTTGATTGTTGATGCAACAGTTTCTCTTTTAAAATAAAGCGCTTGCACATGAAATTTTAGTCTCAAATTTCCTTATCTCTTAGAAAACGGGCAGTCAACATAACCATAATTGGCTACAGATAATGGACCATTGGGACACTATAGGAGAGAGAAACCAGTGTATCTGGATCCTTTACCTAGCTAGTCTGGTTATTAAAATAGGATTGATAATATCAATAAACACCCACATACAATAGGAATTCGTATAAGAAGTCTCTTGGCTAACACATATCATTCAACAAAATTCATAACATGCATAAGAAAACAACAGCTGGAAAAAAGTGTACCACTAGTTGGCAACTATAACACCAATGATACATACAATATGAGCTAGAAAGGGAAAGAAAACTTTGAAATATAGCATAAACCTCCCTTAGAACATCAAGAAACAAAACCTTCCAACCTTGACCTGTTTTGATAATGGAAACCTGGTTTCTAGCAACCACTAGTCCTATCAGCCATGTTCATTTCTGTCTCATATTTTTCCATCGCCCCAACTTCAATTTGTTGGGTCACCCTAGCTGCAATGCTAGCAAGGAAATCTGTTTGCTTCAAGAATTGCTCAGAACAATCTTCGCGAATTGGCTTTACCATATGACAACCATTTGAACGAGTCTTTGGCAGATAAGATTCCTATTTTAAAATTGGGGATAAGCTTTGCCATCCTTCTGGTTTCCTAATCCCACTAGGTTGGCAAAATCTTATTATCTGAGCTTATTATTTCTCCAGCTTTACTTTCTCCCTAACATTTCAGTCAACGGTTGCATTTCTAAAGATAGTGCCAACTAGGACCTTTCCCTTAGTTGAGATTAAATTTTTTCCATCAGTGTGTGTGTTAACAAAATTATAAATAGACACATGTCTATCTATGGTGTTTATGTTGGAGTAGGATATGGTCTAAGACAAACCATGTGTTGTCTTCAATACAAGGATTTAGACTAGCATGACAATGCAATATAAGGTGGAGGCGGTGGCTGGGCATATAAAGTATTAATAAAGGAAATAAAAGAAAGAGTAATGAGAAAGTAAAGAGGGAAAGAGGGTGTTCTCTACAATTTGAAGTTGGCACAAAGTGGAATAGATTGAGAATTGGGTAAGTGGTTTAATTCATAGTACACATTCCTTATTAATCTCTTTGAAAGAGTATTTTATTGATACCATCCTAATCGTATTCCAATTATGGTATCATTTGATTTCGAGTTTTAATATGTTATTTCGTTCAATTATTGATATTTCAATATTTCAGTTGTATTTTTCATTTGATGTTAATTGTTGTGATTTTTGTGTTTGGTAAAATATTTGAGAATTAATTGACACATGCGTGAGGTACGCTTGGGGTATGATTTATGGTTGTAATACATGTTCGTGGCCTTGAGGGATGAACATGGTTGTATGAAAATGTACCGAGTGATGCTTAGCATGGTGTCGAGATTGATAGAATATTTAGTCATGAGTAAATCGAATATTCGTATGTTTGAGTTCGTTTGACATGTTCAATTTATTTGTGCTTCATAAATTATCATATTAATTCTTGTGTCGTTGATTATTCATCAGATAATTGATTAACTATTGTATCGCTCTTTGACATCGAATGTTATATTTTAAATTACTTACTGAACTTTCTCAAGCTCACCCCATTTACTCTTAGTTTCAAGTTGAACTTGAAATTAAAATTTGGTGGAGGATCGGGTTGACCAACGAATAGTGGATTTTTGATTAGTTGTAATTTTAATTATTATCAAGAGGTTATTTATTTATTTATTTTTGAAGAGTTTATGTTGGAGTAAAATTCAGTGGAGAATTGGATCAATTAAAGGATTGAAGACTTTCGATTGCTAATTATTTATGTACTTTTTCAGGTGATTTGAACGATTGTAATTAAATTTCTTATCTAGAGATTTATTTATTCATTATTGGTGTTATTAGCGCTTTGAATATTACTAAATGGATTGGGGTGTTACATGTTTCAAACTTTTTGTTGCAACCAATAATTTGTCATTTCCATCTTGATTAATGGCCAACAATTCTTTGGTTTTCAGAAGTATAATCTCTCTTTTATGCTTTATTTTAGTTTTATCCTCACTGATATTCAATAACCTTTCTTTGAGTTCAATTCTTCTTTCATCAAGATAGCATCCTCCTACTTCTATTTATCCTCACTTTCTTTGTTTGAAGTAAGCCAAGGAGTAAAGTCTTTCATAGAATTAATGAAGCCCAATTTGTTTTTGACTTCATATTGGAAGAAACGAGCTTGTAAAATTTTGGTTTGAAGATGAGCACTCATGTGGGCCATTTGTTATTGTTGTTGCTCCGAAAAATAAATAAAGGAGACAATAGAGACTTTAGTCATGTAGGAGACCACATTAGAAGGGTCATGGATAAGTTGATCAAAGAGAAGTTCAAGCAATTTGAAGAAGCATGAGAACTCTTGTTTCAAAGGTCCTTCAATAGGAGGGAGAGAGATGTTACAAGAAGATACAAAATCAATTGTCTTTACAAATTCATCCGTCTTTTGATAAATAACCTTAATATTAGAATCTAAAATTAAAATGTGGGAGGAAGATTCGAGCATTGATTACAAATAGAAAAATAATTTAATTAAGAAGAACAAAAGAGTGGCACATACAAGTAAAGCAGTGGAAGGTTACCTGATTCACAAAAGAAGCAGATGGAAAAAACTTCTTTAATTGATCTGTTTGGCCTTCAAGATTGGCCAAAGGGCTATCGACAAAAACTGGAATCGTAGAATCCTCACAAACGGTGTCCTTATGACTAGGAATGGTCTCAAGAGGAAGATCCTGGTGAGAAGGTGAAATGTGACCTTCAAGAGGTAAATGAGGCATGTATTGACTCAAAAGAGTGGCAACCATTATGCTTACCATTGGGGTGTCTTCTTGGTTGTCCAAAGTAGGATCATCCTCTTGCCCCGAAGAATTTGAGGATGAATGCTTAGAGTTACTATTCTTTGATGGTAGAGTCGACTTCCTAATCACTAAGAAAACAAATATTCCAAAGTATCTTGAAAAGAGGGAAGGTAAGAAGTAGAAAATTATTATATTTACCTTAGCAGTCAGTTTAAACTGTTTGCCAGATTGTTTGGTTGTGAGGATGAAATTGTTAATCAACACATTTTCACTGTTAGTTGGAGAAGGGGTCATTCCCCCCCCCCCCCTTCAAAGAAGAACTAGATACCANACGTTGTGTATTATATACTGTATGTAAGAGTGTCAAAGGCAAGATGAAATTTTAGCATTTAAATTACAACCAACTTAATTTTGTTGTATTTCACAATTTAACCGATGATGGGTAAGAGAGATGTAAACTTGATTCTCATGCTTATGATTGAGACTATGTTCACACCATTACTTCACCTTTTGGGGATGCACTACCATTTTGTGAATCTAAGTAGAGTTTTCTTATAAGAAAAGTTGTATAGATATGCAACAGTAGTCCTTTCGTTTATCATATTACATTTAACAACTGAGAAAGAACATGATAGTCTCGATCTCTATAAACTATACAAATTCTATTTTTCTAGGTGGCTATAGAATAAAATGGGTAGGTATAGAATATAATGAGCTCAGTAGTTTATGTTACGGTGTTAAATGGAGGTGGAGATGAATATTTGTGGGATATGAATAGGCCCACCCAAAATAGTTCTAGGTTTTCTGTTTCTGCACTCATTAAAGCCTGGTAGTACTGTGATTAGACATCAATTTCAATTGTCATAAAGCCTGAAGTAGATAAAATCTGAAGTAGAAAAGCGAACACCTGAACTTTTGAGTAATCCAAAACATTGAAAATATGAAGGAACATAAAAATTATAGGAATGTTCTTGTAACACAGCTCCGGTTGTTTGCATTTTAGGCCATTGTTTAACTAATTATTGTGACTATCTTTCATTTTCCCTGATAGAAAGACTAACATCTGAATACGGTGGTGCCTTTTTCTAAGATGAATTTTGTTTCAGGCACGACACACGAGAAACAACTAACTTCAAACCCCGAACCAGGAACTACTCAAGAAGGATGGAAGAGAAAACGATTTGCCATGGATGAAGAGGAAGAAACAACAAATGTGTTGCATCAATTAATTGATGCGTTGGAAAAGAATGGCAAATTGCTGAGCTCTCAACTTGAAGCTCAGAACACCAACTTTCAGTTAGACAGAGAACAACAGAAAGATCATGTAAATAGCTTAATTGTTGTTCTTAATAAGCTTGCAGATGCAATGGAAAGAATTGTTGATAAATTGTAATGAAGAGCCCTTATAGTACAATTGCACATGACAAGAGTTCTCTCTAAGCTCCAAGAATTGTCACGGAGGTTGAAGGATTTGGTCAGCTACAGATTTTTATAACTGATATTTGTCTCAGTGTCATATCCAAGATGGCTTCTTACATTTCCCCCCCATTTTAATACCTCTTATATATCTTGATGTACTTTTTTTCTATTTAGGCTTATTGCCATTATAAGTTTATACATATAATAAAGTATGGGTATTTAGGAGTCTGATAATGTCTTTCTCATATATGTTATTGAAGGTTATACGAAGGTTTTTGTCTCTTTTTTGTTGCAGTGATTGTACAGATTGTTGGTAGAATATGCTTGTTGAAGTGGTTGCTTACTTGATTGTTGATGCAACAGTTTCTCTTTTAAAATAAAGCGCTTGCACATGAAATTTTAGTCTCAAATTTCCTTATCTCTTAGAAAACGGGCAGTCAACATAACCATAATTGGCTACAGATAATGGACCATTGGGACACTATAGGAGAGAGAAACCAGTGTATCTGGATCCTTTACCTAGCTAGTCTGGTTATTAAAATAGGATTGATAATATCAATAAACACCCACATACAATAGGAATTCGCATAAGAAGTCTCTTGGCTAACACATATCATTCAACAAAATTCATAACATGCATAAGAAAACAACAGCTGGAAAAAAGTGTACCACTAGTTGGCAACTATAACACCAATGATACATACAATATGAGCTAGAAAGGGAAAGAAAACTTTGAAATATAGCATAAACCTCCCTTAGAACATCAAGAAACAAAACCTTCCAACCTTGACCTGTTTTGATAATGGAAACCTGGTTTCTAGCAACCACTAGTCCTATCAGCCATGTTCATTTCTGTCTCATATTTTTCCATCGCCCCAACTTCAATTTGTTGGGTCACCCTAGCTGCAATGCTAGCAAGGAAATCTGTTTGCTTCAAGAATTGCTCAGAACAATCTTCGCGAATTGGCTTTACCATATGACAACCATTTGAACGAGTCTTTGGCAGATAAGATTCCTATTTTAAAATTGGGGATAAGCTTTGCCATCCTTCTGGTTTCCTAATCCCACTAGGTTGGCAAAATCTTATTATCTGAGCTTATTATTTCTCCAGCTTTACTTTCTCCCTAACATTTCAGTCAACGGTTGCATTTCTAAAGATAGTGCCAACTAGGACCTTTCCTTTAGTTGAGATTAAATTTTTTCCATCAGTGTGTGTGTTAACAAAATTATAAATAGACACATGTCTATCTATGGTGTTTATGTTGGAGTAGGATATGGTCTAAGACAAACCATGTGTTGTCTTCAATACAAGGATTTAGACTAGCATGACAATGCAATATAAGGAGGAGGCGGTGGCTGGGCATATAAAGTATTAATAAAGGAAATAAAAGAAAGAGTAATGAGAAAGTAAAGAGAGAAAGAGGGTGTTCTCTACAATTTGAAGTTGGCACAAAGTGGAATAGATTGAGAATTGGGTAAGTGGTTTAATTCATAGTACACATTCCTTATTAATCTCTTTGAAAGAGTATTTTATTGATACCATCCTAATCGTATTCCAATTATGGTATCATTTGATTTCGAGTTTTAATATGTTATTTCGTTCAATTATTGATATTTCAATATTTCAGTTGTATTTTTCATTTGATGTTAATTGTTGTGATTTTTGTGTTTGGTAAAATATTTGAGAATTAATTGACACATGCGTGAGGTACGCTTGGGGTATGATTTATGGTTGTAATACATGTTCGTGGCCTTGAGGGATGAACATGGTTGTATGAAAATGTACCGAGTGATGCTTAGCATGGTGTCGAGATTGATAGAATATTTAGCCATGAGTAAATCGAATATTCGTATGTTTGAGTTCGTTTGACATGTTCAATTTATTTGTGCTTCATAAATTATCATATTAATTCTTGTGTCGTTGATTATTCATCAGATAATTGATTAACTATTGTATCGCTCTTTGACATCGAATGTTATATTTTAAATTACTTACTGAACTTTCTCAAGCTCACCCCATTTACTCTTAGTTTCAAGTTGAACTTGAAATTGAAATTTGGTGGAGGATCGGGTTGACCAACGAATAGTGGATTTTTGATTAGTTGTAATTTTAATTATTATCAAGAGGTTATTTATTTATTTATTTTTGAAGAGTTTATGTTGGAGTAAAATTCAGTGGAGAATTGGATCAATTAAAGGATTGAAGACTTTCGATTGCTAATTATTTATGTACTTTTTCAGGTGATTTGAACGATTGTAATTAAATTTCTTATCTAGAGATTTATTTATTCATTATTGGTGTTATTAGCGCTTTGAATATTACTAAATGGATTGGGGTGTTACATGTTTCAAACTTTTTGTTGCAACCAATAATTTGTCATTTCCATCTTGATTAATGGCCAACAATTCTTTGGTTTTCAGAAGTATAATCTCTCTTTTATGCTTTATTTTAGTTTTATCCTCACTGATATTCAATAACCTTTCTTTGAGTTCAATTCTTCTTTCATCAAGATAGCATCCTCCTACTTCTATTTATCCTCACTTTCTTTGTTTGAAGTAAGCCAAGGAGTAAAGTCTTTCATAGAATTAATGAAGCCCAATTTGTTTTTGACTTCATATTGGAAGAAACGAGCTTGTAAAATTTTGGTTTGAAGATGAGCACTCATGTGGGCCATTTGTTATTGTTGTTGCTCCGAAAAATAAATAAAGGAGACAATAGAGACTTTAGTCATGTAGGAGACCACATTAGAAGGGTCATGGATAAGTTGATCAAAGAGAAGTTCAAGCAATTTGAAGAAGCATGAGAACTCTTGTTTCAAAGGTCCTTCAATAGGAGGGAGAGAGATGTTACAAGAAGATACAAAATCAATTGTCTTTACAAATTCATCCGTCTTTTGATAAATAACCTTAATATTAGAATCTAAAATTAAAATGTGGGAGGAAGATTCGAGCATTGATTACAAATAGAAAAATAATTTAATTAAGAAGAACAAAAGAGTGGCACATACAAGTAAAGCAGTGGAAGGTTACCTGATTCACAAAAGAAGCAGATGGAAAAAACTTCTTTAATTGATCTGTTTGGCCTTCAAGATTGGCCAAAGGGCTATCGACAAAAACTGGAATCGTAGAATCCTCACAAACGGTGTCCTTATGACTAGGAATGGTCTCAAGAGGAAGATCCTGGTGAGAAGGTGAAATGTGACCTCTTGAGGTAAATGAGGCATGTATTGACTCAAAAGAGTGGCAACCATTATGCTTACCATTGGGGTGTCTTCTTGGTTGTCCAAAGTAGGATCATCCTCTTGCCCCGAAGAATTTGAGGATGAATGCTTAGAGTTACTATTCTTTGATGGTAGAGTCGACTTCCTAATCACTAAGAAAACAAATATTCCAAAGTATCTTGAAAAGAGGGAAGGTAAGAAGTAGAAAATTATTATATTTACCTTAGCAGTCAGTTTAAACTGTTTGCCAGATTGTTTGGTTGTGAGGATGAAATTGTTAATCAACACATTTTCACTGTTAGTTGGAGAAGGGGTCATTCCCCCCCCCCCCCTTCAAAGAAGAACTAGATACCAATGAGTGTGAAGGTTTCTCCACATGAATCACTTCATCTAGTCTACTTCAATAAAGAGGAACACTTGTCTTCTTGTGAAGAAGAAGAGGTTCTTTAACATCCTCTTCATCGATGGTAGGTGTCATTGGTACATTTTAGGGTTGAGTGGCAACATTATGGGCATCAAAGGAAGATTGCAGTAGGGCTAGTTTAGGAAACAGTAAGTGTTGCAATCAAGATTGTTTTATTCAATCTCTTGTAACCAAAGTCTCTCCGATTGAATTAATGAACCAGAATGTGTTTTGTATTCTTAGAAATGATAATTGTTAATTATGAAAATGACTACCTTAATGAGTAATTTCGTAAGTTATTAATAAAGAATGAATTTGTGTTTATATAGACATAATGAAGACTATTCTGGATAGCCACCAAGCAAACTGAAGCAACGCAAAAGGTGTATGTTAATGACCGAATACCAATTCATATTTCATAAGGTGAACACTTTAAATTCAAAAAAAAAAATTTGTGTGAAAATTAAATTTCCAATGAGTAGAAAATTAAAATGGGGTTAAAAATTTAAGGACCCATTTAACAAACGATTTTTTTCTAAAAAGTAAGAATGGATCTAACCCATACCTAAGCCTAGCCTTGTTGATTGTAGAGTGCATGGTCGAACCCAAGCCCATGTGGTCCTGATTCGTCCATAAAAATGAGGTGCTCTTTGGGCCCCAACTCTTAGAGCAAACTTGGAGTAGATATGTTTATCAAATATTTCTTGCCCAACTAATGTGAGATTGGTGTTATATCTTATATTATCTAACCTTTATTTCTACATTTTTATAAAGTTAATTTGGAGCTTATTTTCTTATTCACCTAATACTCTGTTTGAGCAAATAAATATATTAAATTATTCTTCTCACATAATAGAATACAAACCCATAAAAATTATTAAAAACGATGAGAAGATCCTACTTTAATTTAGGTTCGAAGTCGACAAAAAATCTGTTTTTGTCCTACGGTACATACTTTGGAATTGAAATGTAAGTCCTCCTGATACAAATTTTAATGGAATTGACAAGATTTGTAGGATCTCTCGTGGGCTGCCGGTATGTACTTTCTGTTGGTCCATTGAAATATGGAATTGATATGGATGAGCCCAAGATGAAATTGGGCCTAAACTACTCTATTGTGGTTTTCAGCCTAAACTACTCTTATCTTTGCAGGGCTATCTAGATATAAAAAAAATGTATTTTATATTTTGAGAAAATTTCGGTCACACCTCTTTTAATTTATTATATCTTCAAAGATATCCCTTCTATTATCAAAAATATCAATGCCACCCTTTGTAATTTATATTTAAGCATCACTCACACCCCCTACCATTAAACCACCATTTATAACAAAAATAAATTGTCACAAAT